TGGAAACTAAAATTTGAATGGAGTTCATAAACTAAGGAAGTTAAAGTCACAGTCCTAACGGTCAGGTGGGCAGTTTAAGTGGACAACTATACCTCAGTTCTGATTTGGTTACAAACACTGAAAATTTTTCATGGCCCACAGCCTAGCATGGATTTGCCTCCTTTCAGAGCTATAGAGTACGTATCAGGAAGAAGAAGGACATATATCAGTAAGAATGATAAGACGCATGGGATAAAGAGATTTAAAGATGCTAACAAAGACAGGGTATTCAGTTATTTCCTAGGGAAAAGGAAGTTTGAAACACCATACTACAACAGTGAAGTTGGCTACTTCACACATTAGCAGGGAAGATTTTCTTGGTGCTGGTCCTGTCTTACCACCTGCCCTTAGTATCAGTGAACAATATAATAAAGACCATATAATTCCAAGCCCCCTGCCACAGGCAGGGACACCTGTAAGACCTCAAGTCTTGAGCTATGAGTCCACCAAGGGAGTTTTACTTGTACTTTAAAAATATAAAAGGCTCCAAAAATTTGCCTACTGAATTATTGGAAGAGCCTTTGGTTCTTTTAACATCTTAAGAGAGAGCGCAAAGGAGAGGACGCAGCACACGTTTTCTCAGGAGGTACTTTACTGGTACTTTACTGCAGAAGAAATAAGAGTACTTGGCAAAAGTTTAAAGGGTAGCATACAACCAAAACAAAGCATTCCACAAAGCATTGACTTAGCACATGCTAACACATACAACCAACCCATCTGGTATCCAGCTACCAAAAACATTAAGAAAGGAGATTGGCAGAAGAAAAAGAAGAAAAGAAAGAGAGATAAAAGGAGATATATAGTTACCATTCCTAGATCCAGTGTAGGTCCAGCTACAGGAGTCTAGAAAACAGTGCGTTCAGCATGTGGAGGTCACGTGTCTTTGGTTTTACCTGCTCTGGCCCCTGTGGCCACCTCTTCCAGGTGGGACTTCTGGCTCATTGGCCACTCTGGGACTCCAGGATGAGGGGTGGTGCTCCCGCTGTGCCAGACAATCCAAGGCTGGGCCAGGGGCTCCCAGGGCTGCTATAGGATGTTCTCCTGGGACGTTTTTGACTGACAGCTGCTCCAGGTCACCCCATGGGTCTCTCAGGGGCTGCTGTGTGTGTCAGACACCAGGTCAATAATTATTGGGTCAGAACCACCTTGTGGAGAGTGTGTGTGTGTGTGTGTGTGTGTGTGTGTGTGTGGAGGGGGAAGAGATGGGTCGAACCTCATGGGGGTGAGGTGATGTCATATCCCTGGAGCCCACATGGGGGAGTCCTGGAGTGGCTGTCAGTCACAAGCAGCCTGGGAAAACTGTAACACACCACACCTCTTGCAGCCCCTCACCCAGCTCAGATTGGCAGGGACAGGGAGGACACTGCCCTTCACACCAACCTGGAACCCCAGAGTGGGTGGTGGGTCAGAGACCCTGCCTGGAGGGGTTGGCCACAGGGACCAGAGCACATAAAACCAAGGGCATATGTTTGTCTCGTGTCACAGCCTGCCACTGGACTTCTGAAAGCTGGTCTTCTATAAGGCTTCAGTGGTAGCTATCTCTCCCTCTTTCTCCTTCTCTCTTCTTCCTCTCTCTGCTTCTCTTTCTTTGCTCCTTTCTTGATGCTTAGAGTGGCTTGGAGCTGGAGGGATTGAATTTTAAGTGTTGCAGAATTGATTGAATTTTGACTTAAGTGTTGTGGGTTAATAAGTGTTGTATGCTGAGGCAGTATTGTGGTGGAACATTTTTGACTAGCTTGTGTGGTGTCCTTTTGAACTTTGGCCAAGTTCCATTTGCTCCCCTAAATTAATAAATTCCTTGGGAACAAGCCTGCGACTTTATTCTCTTGACACCATCCCGAGGTATTAAAGAACCCTATATCTATATACTAAAGTAAAACTCTCAGCGAAGCTGGTGAGCTGGCAGCTCCTGGAGTATGGGACAAGGCATGACCTCACCTCTGTGAGATTCACCTTGTCCCTTCCCCCCCTCACACACACACACACTTGAGTTGCTCCGAGCCAATATAATAATCCAGTGTGTCACATCACCTTTCACTAGACCAGATTACTCAGACCCCCATCCAGCCTGGCCTTGACCACCCCTGGGATGGAGAGTACACAACTTTTCTGGGCAACCTGTTCCAGTGTCTCACTGTTTCTTCCCAATAGCTAATCTAAACCTACCCTTCTTCAGCTTAAGACCAATTCCTCTTTGACCTTCTCCCCAGTGTTCTTCTTGTTCCATTCTCTGCTTAGACTGCAGATGTGCTTGGGATCGCCACAAAACAGGCAAAGGACCTTGCACTTGCCTTGTTGAATTTCATGAGGACTGCACAGGCCCACTTGTCGAGCCTATCCAGGTCCCTCTGGCACCCTTTCCCTCCAACATGTTGACTGCACCACACAGCTTGGTGTCATCGACAAACTTGCTGAGAGGGTGCACTCGACCCCACTGTCCATGTCACTGACAAAGATGTTAAACAGTGCCAGTCTCAATACTGACCCCTGAGGAACACCACCGGACCTGCAGAATAAAGTTTGTTGTCAAAAAAACAGGTTTGGAGATCTTGAACACACACCTTGCATATACTCTTGTTCCTCCATCTAAGAACAGGTTTCAGACCTAAGAAAAATAAATAAAATATTCCAAATCTGCTACAGAATGCATAGCTGTGCCACAAACAGAATCAGGCAAACACCTGATGGGAATCAGGTATATCCTCTGTTCCTTGGGCAGCGTATCAGCACAGATAGCCCTGAAAGAAAATGGAGATTCTTCCTATCAAAAGACTTCATCATATTTAGGATACAGTTTAAATTATGGAAGAACTTCTGGCAATAACCATGAAGAAAAATGTTTTTATTCATCCTGATTAATGTCAGGGATTTTTCCATTGTGTAAACAATAACCCATAGGTATTCAGGCATCCAAAGCTTTGAAACAGCTTTGAGAGCAGACAGCAACTGACTGCTTGAATGCAAACTCATCATATAAACCTCTTGATAGTTATTATTCTAAGAAGCACATTGCCTCTGTCTTTGCCTGCATAGACTACAAAGTGCATGAAAAGTACTGAAAGAGCCTGAGAATCTGATGGGGGAGGGAATGCAAATTTATTCAGAACTTTTTGAATCAGCAGAAAAGCACTTGCGCTAATCCTAGAGATGTGCTTGCTTTTCTAAACTGTTGCAAATTTCCTCTTAAGATAGTAATAAAAATTTAACTTTGAATTTATCTACCATTACACACAAAATTAGCAATAGTCTGTATACCCTTTGCAATTTTGACTGTGATCAGATTAAACCAGATGGGGCTTGCTGAAAGGAATATATTTGGGCCATAATAGAGTACTTTTTAAGCCCTTGCTTTCAGTGAGAAACTATGCTTTCTTTGTTTGGACATCATATATGCCCAGTTTTTGTATTTGGTCTGAAAAAGCAGAAGAATCAATTCATTCAGAAAAAAGGCAATGTCTTCCCCAAGTATGTTTTTTCAACAGCACATAAGATAGGGATGGCAACACTAACATTTCACTAATAATTAGTCATCATGTTTTAGCAGAACATAATGTAATAAACCCTATTTTTCTAAGATTTTTGTTCATCTTTTTTCTTTTTAACATCATGTACTTTAGACTGCCTTTTTATTTCCAATATTCTTTTCAGATATTTTATTTCAGATATTCTTTTCCTTCCAGATGCCTAGAGAATAGGAAAGGATTTTCTTTCTTTTGATTCCTCTCCCAGGAAAAGAATTCAGCAGCTTGTTAGTTTCCTCGGTACTCTCTATATAACAAAAGGTGTCATATCTGGAAGGCCTCATTTTTCTATTAGCTCTACTCCAAAGGTGCTGGGAGCTGAAGATGTTCAGTAGCTCTAAGGATTGAATGTATTGGGACCAAACAAATGTGAGAAGCTCATACTGGAACCATGGAGCTAATAAGGACTGGGAGTTCCAAAATAGATAACAGAGAACTTACACACAAAAAAAAGAAGTATTTCTTCCAAGTGAATACATCAATAAAGATGTGACTTGTTAGAAAAATACCTTATATCTCTTTACTTCAATGGCCATGTTCACGAGTTCTCATTATATTTTGCAAACTGCAGCATAGTAAGATTCATTCCTACTCACATCTCTATCTCATTCTGACTCCATGACTATTACTGTTGCTAAACAATTAATATAAAAATATTTTCTGTTATTCTCATCTTCTAGGTGTATTCTCCCCTTTTCTTCTTCAATGCTGCATTTTATTATTTACTTGTACTTTTTTTTTTTCTGTGCATTAGTAGTTAATTAGATTTTATATATGCTGGAATATCTAATAAAAGCACTAGGACTTAAAATGGAAACTTTTCTCTTCTTTATTTGATGGAAAATCTGCAAGTTTAATTAGGCAACCCATTGAGATAAACACATCAACAGATAAATTTCCCACTCATGAATGCAGCACAGACACCAAGAAACTGGCTAGGAAGTTTCAATTCACCTGGGTACCAAAGTATTTATACCCAAAAGATTTTGGCTAAATAAGAGCTTTCCAATAGAATCCAAGGATTACAGAGTGAACCCCAGCAGGGCAGCTGATTCTTTAGCACTGGGAAATCTCCCACTGGATTAGAGCACACACATTTTTTCTTCAGAGTGGCAGGGAAACAAGTGCATGCCAGGAAAATGCCTAAAGGATTAATACAAAACTGTCCTTTGCAGAATAGGAAGTACAAAGATTCTATTTAGTCTACAAGCCTCTTTTTTACAGTGCAGGTTATTTTTCTGTTTATACTCTGCAGCATCTGAACCCAGAAAAGCAAATAGGGTGAGCCTTGTCTGAGACTGCTGATACCAGCCACTGGTAAAAATTGAGAAGGTATAATCTTGAGATTAGAAATACCAAGAGAAGGGGTATTGATACATAAGCATAGTACCTTAAAAAGAAGAAACATAAAAACTATTTTCAATAGTAATCACACAGTAGAGGTCATAACTTTTTCAATAAAGTCAGATGTTCAACAATGTTTAATAACTGACATAAGGAAGCCATCATATTTATAAAGGAGATATTTATTTCTGAAGATTCAGAGACATTCCATTTTTTTTCTTTTGCAGCTGAAAAGCAAACAGTTGTACTTGAGGAATCAATTAAAAATAACAGATTAAAAGAGAGGAGACAACAGTAGCAGTTCAGAATTTTCAACCTCTTTGAAATTTGCTTCCACTTAAGAACATGAGTCTTCCTTCAGAGCAATAACTGCATAGCATCTGGGGGATTTCACAGGATCAAATAACTTCACAAGTCCAGACCAGGCAATGTTTTCCTGTAAAATGATGTATGATTGAAGTACTAAAAATGTGTTTGACTGAAAAGCTAAGATATGATAACAGGTCCACATTTTGAAATACAAAATTGAAAATAAAAATAATTATCCTTAATGTAAAGCAGGAAAACCGCTTATCTGACAAGAAAATCAGACAAAGTTTGTTGTGAAAAAACAGACACCCATAACAGGATGCATTTTCAAGTCATTTAGTTATTTCTGGCACTATCAAATGATAGCTTCTCCCCCTCCTTCATCAACAAGGATTTGTTCTTTGAACTAGAGCAAAGAAATTAAGGATCAAGACATACTCATTTTAGGCAGCACATTCTACTCCTGAAGCTAATTAACTGACTTTTCAAATGAATCAGGCTAGCTGGATCTGGTCATCATGTTGCATATGGCTTTTATAATTTGTATTTTAAATCCTAAACACATTTTATGAATCAACCAGTACAAGATTAAATTAATGCATATATTACATTTAGAAAAGGTAAATTAGTGCTAAATGCAGCAAGTTTGATCTCCCATTTTGGGAATCATAGAGATCTCTATGCAAATTTTTACTGGTTGGCACTTTGGAGAATACATCGTTATTTAAATATTTCAAATTGCCTCTCTGTAAAAATACCAGTTAGAACAAAAGCATACATTTACTAGGACTCAGCATTTGGTAGAGAATTAAGTGAGTTTTCACTTATAAAATGGAGCTGTTAAAACGTAAAGTTTACACCGCAAAAACATAGCTATTCATATGAATGAGATTAAACTTCATTAAAAAAATTTATTTTGACCATGGCTCAGAGCAGAAGCTGGAAGATTCTACCATTTTCTCCTAGCAAATTATTATTTGGTGAAAATTTTTTATTGGTGCAGAAAAAGTATTACTGCTGCTTCTGAGTTAATCAGGCCAAACTCAAAATTAGCGTTAGGAGAAACAGTGTAATATAAATCATCGTGGAGTAAATGTAGTAGCATTTGCTTGTTATATCCCAGGTCTATACTTGTAAAATATATTCAGGCTGTGTGTTAGTCAAATGTACCTCAGTTGAGCCATACAGCTGGAAAAAGTGCACCCTCTCTCATCATTGATCTTAATTAAGAAACAGTAAAAGGAAATAACAAACATTTTGCATTTAATTCAAAATTTCTTGAATTATATGTTTTAAAACATATTAATTGGAAGTTCTAGCATGAACAGCAAAACGTTTGTTAAGCATTTCTAACACTATTTTTAATTAATAAATATCTCAATGTTGTATGAGATTTGTTGCATATTTAATTAATTTATTTTTTACTGTCTATTGACTAGTAATTACCATACAATTAAAAGAATATAAACTTTACTGTTGCTGCTTTGCTGCAAATAAAAACATCTGCTGGGCATATGTTTATACTAAATGGAATGAATGCTTATAGTTTTGCAAATATGATGAGAATAATAATTTTGCAACAGAGACTTTTGGTCTGCACCATAATAAATAGACTGAAATAGCCTCATTTCATTGATGTAGCCTTTAGGTACCATAAAATATAATGCAAAAATACCTGCTCCTTGAGATAGCAAAGACGATCCAGAAGTATCAAAACTTCTATGCAAGGAGCCAGAACAACCTTCAACTGAAAGAAAGATTAGATATTATAATCCCTTTGGGAAAGACAGGCAATACACTTCCAAATGGCTACACTTCCTCAGAACAAGTCTAGGAAGGTCAATCATTTTTTAGGGGTTCTGTTGTACAAATGTCAGTTTGCTAATTTTCTTTATGGGATGGACATCTTCAAAACAGAATATATTAAAGACAAAAATACATAGAATGCCCTAAAGTCAGGGAACTATGTTATTTAGTTGGTTTTCAGACACTGTCCAATAAGAAAATTATACTATATGTAGCAGAACATTTTTAAAGAAGGAAATAATGAATTTTAATAAAAAGAATTTTTATGAAATAACTGCATGGAGACCAGTCTAGGTTTAAAAGGAGACTGCAATTCCATTTTCCAGTGTAATAGTCCCTCTTGAAAAAGAATCTTCCATGTATTCGCTTTATTATTTTACTTACACCTAATATAGTTTTGGAATAGGATATGTTCCAAAGTTTGGAAGGGCGGGCTGCTTTGTTTTTTGAGATAGCATACCAATGTAAGACAGTCCACCTCCACATAAAACTTAACAGGGCTTTGTTCTAGACTAGCACATATATACAAGGTAATAGTATTAATCCTATAACTTTTACCATATTAAATGCTTCTAGCTCGTTCATTCTGTGCTTGTATTTTTCATAGTAATCCATTATACAGCTGTCTGGGAGCTGGAAGAGATTTAAGAAAAAAGATATCAGAGTTATTCTAGTTACTTTTTTTGAGAGAGAACTTTCCAATTAAATATTTTTCCTGATTGAAACTCACACTACAAAATAAAATCTGTGTTTTGTTATTAAAATCAGCCTTTTTCTAAGGTTTATAATTAATTTCCAATAGCAGTTTCTCAGTTCTAATTTGCAGTAACTGTTCTTCAGACAGCATTTTGCACTGACATGAAATACTGAGATACATTCAATATTCAGAAAGCTCCAGTCATTCCTAAATGACAATTACCCAGTAACTGGAGATAATATTCTCATTTCCTTTCCCATATATCTTATCCCCTCCTCAACAGCAGTATATCTATTCTTTTCTGGCTATGGAATGAGCTAGACCACAACTTAGCAGAAAAGTAACAGCACTGACAGACGTGCAGGGACAAGGGACAAGGTTTACTGATGGACATGGCAGTGCTGAGTTAACGCTGCTGCTCTTAAAAGTCTTTTCCAACCTAAACAATTCTGTGACTCTGTGACAAAAGACCATGAAAGCTGAAGTATTTAATACATTTTTGAACATTTTATTAGAAGAATCATCTGACAGCATGTGGCTAATCCAGCTGCAAAGATGTAAAATCTCTGCCTAAAATAGGAAAATAAAGTAGGGAACACTTAAAAAAATATAAAGTTTTCAAATGAGGTATAATGAACTTCATCCTAAGACAGCTAAGCAGAGACTAAAGGGACCTCAGAACTATTACTCATTGTCACTGAAAAGTTCTCAAAGAGGGTATGTCAGAGGGTATCTCTTTTGTTATAGAACACACAGTTCAAATTAAATGCACTGAAAAAATGGAACAAATAAAGAATTTAAAAACACTACAAGATAAGCAGATGAATTCATCCATATGAATTAGTTAAGAACAAATCACAAGTTGGTCTATGGAGGGTAAAAGGATTCACAACAGAGAAAAACAGCTGGTTATCATATATTTCAATTTCAGAAAGATTTTTGACAACATTTCACATAATAATTTTCTAAGCAAATTTAAGAAACAAGTTTAAGATTGAAGTACTATACAGCGACTGAAAATTGTTTGAATGACCATAACCAGACAGTAGTTACTAATGAGTCTTTGAAAAGCTAAAAGACCTGCTGACTAGAGGTCCATTATGAAATGCAGTATTTTCATTAAGAACTCAGACAACAGAATAGAAAACACATTAATTAGCTCTGCTAATGTGCAGCAGGAAGGCATTGCCAGAACTTAAAATAGTTTTCAGAAATTGGAGTATTGCTTAGAAAAGAAGTTTGAAATGCTGTACAGAAAAGCAGAAGGGATTAGGCTCAGGCAGAAATAATCAGCTGTTCAGGATGGGGAACACCAAGTGACAGGCTGGGAGATATAGCAGATCATAAGCTGAGCGAGAGTCACAGTTGTGCTACTGCAAAAAACCAGCAATCACCATTCTGTGACGTGCATGGGAGAGCAGCCTGCAAAGTGCAGGAAGTAATCCTTCAACTCTGGCAGTGGAAAAGCTCTAGCTGGAATACTGCATCCATTTTTGGGCATCAGATTTCAAAGAAAGAAATGAACTGTCTGAAAAAGCCCTGAGAGAGAAAAAAGATCAGAAATTTAGAAAACATGATCTAAGGAAAAAGACTCAGAGAACTGGAACTGATCAGGCTAAATTAGACAAAATTGAGAGTGGGCATAATAAAAGTGTTTACAAGACTATCACCAAGAGGCAGAGAACAGTTTGTTCACTGTGTCTACAGTGGATGGGGCAAAAAAAAAGTTAGCCAAAACCTTGAAGAAGCTTTTTTTCTTGGAGGTTAATTAAGGACTGGCAATAGTCTGATTACTGGAAGCTTTCAGAAGATCTGACAAATATTTTTCAGGGATGATGCAAAATTCTAACTCTGCCTTAAAACAAGAGGGGTTAGAAAACTTTTGTAGTATTTCAGTCATATTTTTTTAATTTAGAAAGTGCTTTTTCCCAAGCAGATGCAAGGTTGAGTAGTTGATCTGCCAGTACTAATGTGGACTAACAGGAATTTTTTTAAATCTTATTTTTTTTTCTGCATAGCCATGCAAATATTTTAGAGGTTCTTTTTTTTTCTCTCTTCCCCTCTAAAGAGTCAAAGTAACTAAAATATACCAGTCATGATATAAACAAAATAGTTTATTTAACCTCTGCCCTATAAGCTTTCCATTTCAACTGACTATTATTAGGGTTTTAGTATAATGGATTTTTTAAATTACAGGCTGTTTGGAATTAAAATACAAAGATCTATATTTGGAAAAATGTGATCACAAAACCTTTCTGCTTTTGCTTCCTTGATGTTCTACATTTTTCAAGATGAAGCATTGAAATTGAAAGAAAACAAGCTGTGAAATGTTTGACAAATAAAAAGGGGATCAAAAATGTCTCTTGCACATTGCCATACCAAGTATGTCCTTTTCCATTCCCTCCTTGTTTATTACACATTCTGACTAATTGCATCCTGTTGTCATGGATAGATCAGGTAGTATTCCAAACTATGTCTCAGATAAAAGTTTGGTGAGCTGGAAAACAGAAAAGTTACCCATGGAAAGGGTAATTGGTCGTTAGCCATGTGGCCAATTTCTTGGAAGAAGACTAAAACCCAGATAACACTGGCTTTGGCTGAAACTGCAACAGCTTGCTACTTGCCTTCAGTTCCTAAAAGGTACCCAACACAACCATCAGCTATCCTTCCAAGGTGAAGTAGGAGTAGATTACAATTTGCATTTTCAGGAGAAAAACTGTACTTCCACATGCAAAGCAAGCCTCATTCATTCACACAAGTTGTCCATGCAACTGTTCTCTGGGTTACCACACATTTGTGTAGCCAAAAAAAAATTTCCAAATATATGCACTGAACTTTCTTCTTCCATTATGATGTTGATACTACGAACATGAGAAAACTCAAATACATCTATAATCTATTTGTCTTAAGATTGATTCTGCACTCAAAGATCTAGCTTATGTTACTGACACTCAAATAACTTTCATTTCATACAGAGAATTTTTTGTCAGTATTTCTTCCCTTACGTAGCTACAATGTCTCTGGGTGTTCATCAGGTTGTGAACAAAAGCACTAAAACTGTGCCATAAGACTGACTTATCTACGAGACTGCCAAAAGAGCCCTGAGAGCACGTGAGATACCATGTGCCTGAGCACATCCAGCTTGGACTGCACTCCCATAGACATGCTGATTGAGCTGAAAAGAAAGCATTCAGGCACAAGGTATGGGACAATTACTGATACCACACTTAACATCTCTTCAGAAAGCATTTTTTTCAGAGCTCTGCCTTTCCCTAGACTGAGCATTTTGACTGAATGAAAGTCTTTTTTACTGTCCAATGCTGTACATGCCCTACAAAGGAGAGATAGCCTAAGGATGCTATTCCACAGTCTGTTTAAACAGATGCAATTCCTCTGCTGCCTCAAAGGGACTGCTTTCTCCTGCACTGACTGCACAATTCTCTGTTTCCTCTCTCTTCTTGTACAAGCATTATCAGGAACACTAACAAGAGTACATGAAAGCAGCAAGGCAACCCTTTTAGCAGACCAGTGTCTTAGATTAGTTCAAAACACTTGGGAGACCATACCTTACAGAAGATTTCACAGAATATTTCACAGAAGATTTCACAACTTTTCCATGACTAAGGCAGTTAAAAATAATGTCACGTAATATAGTGTAAAAAAATAACATAAAACAGATAGAGAAATTACATAATCACAGAGTCAAGTAGGTTGGAAAAGACCTCTGAGATCATCAAGTCTGACCTTTGACCTAACACCACCTTGTCTACTAGACCACGGCACTAAGTGCCACATCCAATCTCTTCTGAAATACCTCTAGAGATGGTGAATCCACCACCTCTGTGGGTAGCCTATTCCAGTGCCTGACCAGTCTGTAAAGAATTTCTTCCTAATGTCTAACCTAAACCTCCCCTGGCACAGCCTAAGACCGTGCCCTCTTATCTTACTGCTGGTTGCCTGGGAGAAGAGGCCGATACCCACCTCATTACAACCTCCTTTCAGGCAGCTATAGTGAGCAATAAGGTCTCCCCTGAGCCTCCTCTTCTCCAGGCTGAACAACCCCAGCTCCCTCAGCCTCTCCTCATAGGACTTGTGCTCCAGACCCTTCCCCAGACTCGTTGCCCTTCTTTGGACCTGCTCCAGCACCTCAATGTCCTTTCTACATTGAGGGTCCCAAAACTGGACACAGCACTTGAGGTGCAGCCTCACCAGTGCCAAGTACAGAGGGAAGGATCACTTCCCTGCTCCTGCTGGCCACACTATTCTTGATACAGGCCAGGATGCCCTTGGCCTTCTTGGTCACTTGGGCACACTGCTGGCTCATGTTTAGCCTGCTGTCAATCATACCTCCAGGTCCTTTTCTGCCTGGCTGCTGTCCTGCAGCATGGGATTGCTGTGGCCAAAGTTCAGGACTTGGCACTTGGTCTTGCTAAACATCATACCACTGGATTCAACCCATTTATCCAGTCTGTCCAGGTCCCTCTGCAGAGCCCTCCTACCCTCCAGCAGACTGACACTCACCCCCCTTTTTGGTGTCATCTGCAGGTTTTCTAATGATGGACTCAATCCCCTTGTCCAGATCATCAGGACTGGGCCCAGCACTGATCCCTGGGGGACACCACTGGTGACCAGCTGCCAACTGGATGCAGCCCCGTTCACCAGCACTCTCTGGGCCTGGCCCTCCAGCCAGTTCTTAATCCAGCAGAGAGTGCCTCTGTCCAACCCATGGGCTGCCAGCTTTTCCAGGAGAATGCTGTGGGAGACAGTGTCAAAGGCTTTCCTGAAGTCCAGGTAGACCACATCTATAGCTGTATATATTCAGATTAGTTCATATCTTAATGTACTATACAATTTCACTACTGATAGTTCCCCAGTCTTCAATATGTAGCTTTTAAATGCTTTTTGAAACAACAGCAAACCACACAGTAAGGTTCTT